CCGTTTTTGTTTTTAGGGTGAGTGGTTTTGTTTGTGTTTTTTGGGTTGTTCTCCCGCCCTGGCGGGGGGTCGGGCTAGAAGATCTATTAGGTCCCTTCCGACCCTGAAACTATGAAACTATGAAACTATGAAACCACTGCAAGTACCAATCTTGACAGCAGCTTCAGTGTAATTTTCCATTAAAAAAGCTACAGCGTTCTCCCTTTAAATACAGTTCCACAAAACAACATCCCCACTTAATATTCTTCTGGTGAGAAAGTCACAAATGATTAAGCATTAAGAAGTCATTATGTTTCATCTGTCTTACCTGACAAGTAAAAGTGTAAGAAGATTGGGAAGGGTATTATAAGTGCCAAAAGCAACCAACCATCAAAGCTGACAGGTGATGGTGGTGTTTTATAGCATATATCTAGAAAACCAGTTAGGGCCAAGTTCCCACTGAAAAGCTTATATTTGCACTGCAGAATTATAATGGCATATTGGAAGACAAAGTTGGGGCAACATAGGATCATAGATCATAGGAAAGCAGGGACTTCACAAGTTCATCTAGCCAAGCCCCTGGCTCAAGGCAGGATCATCCCTAACTAAATCATTCCACCAAGTGTCGGTCTAAACCGATTTTGAAAGTTTCCAAGCATAGAGATTCCACGACTTCTCTAGGTGGCCTGTTCCTCTAGATGGCCACTTCTCTAGGTGGCCTGACCACCCTCATCGTCAGAATGGTCCTCCAAATCTCCAGCCTAAATTTCCCTTGCTGCACCTTCAAGGCCCCTGCTCCTAGTCCTGTCCTCCACAGCCACAGAGAAAATCCTATCTCCATCTTCTCTATAATCACCCTTCTGGTATTTGAAGATTGTTATCAAATTCTCCCTCAGTCTTCTCTTCTTCAGATGAAATAACCCTAGCTCTTTCAGCCATTCCTCCTAAGTCTTGGATCCCAGGCCCCTGATCATTTGTGTTGCTCTACACTGGACTTTTCCCCATCTGTCCACAGCCTTCTTGAAGTGTGGGGCCCAAAACAGCACTCCAGATGAGGCTTCACGACTACTGAATCAAATGGAAGAATCTCTTCACTTGATTTGCAAGTGACACTCCTCTTAATACAACCCAACTATACTGTTGGGGTTTTTTTGGGTTGTTTTTTTTTTTTTTTTATATAACAAGAGCACACAGTTGGCTCATCTTCAGCTTATGGTGTACTGCAGCCTCCAGGTCCTTCTCTGAAGTGCTGCAGCCTAGCCAGTCATTCCCCAGTTTGCATTTGTGCATGCAATTATTCCATCCCAGGTGTAGGACCTTGCACTTGCCCTTGTTGATTTTCATTTTGTTGACCGCGGACCATTTTTTCCACTTTATCCAGGGCATTCTAGATTGTGGTGGGCAAAATATGGGCCATGGGCTGGATCTGGCCCACCAACAGATTGCATTGAGCTCATGGGTGGGCAGCCACAAACTCATGGGATCTGACCCCTGGATAGCTTCCAGCTCTGGTCAGTGTATGGAGCTGGGCAGGTGGGGCTCTTTCCACCATCCTAGGTGGACAGGTAGGAGGGACTGCTTCCACCCAATGCTAACATGGGGGCACCAGCTGTGTATCCCTGGGCAGATGCCCTGATCCCCACCCAGAACCTGCCAGCTGTGTCCACAGCTGACACCGATCTCCACCTGGGGCTGCTTCCACAGGACTGAGCAGGTGCTGACATAAGCTGCAGACTTGGCCAGCAGGTCTTGGATCAGGGTGGGGATGCTACAACTCTGAGTAGGGCGGGGATTGGGCGGGGGGGGAGGGGCAGTGAGAGAAGAAGAGCAGAGAAGACCCTTGAGATGACACTAAAACTGATTAAATGCCCCTCCAGCCAAAATAATTGCCCACCCATTCTAGATCCTAGCCCTAGTCTCCAGAGTGTCTGCAACCCCACTCAACTTAGTGTCATCCATCAATTTGCTAAGCATGCACTTGATCTCATCATCCAAATCATGAATGAAGGTATTAAACAATACTAGAACCAGGACAGAGTCCTGGGGAATCCCACTTGATACCTCCTCAATGACACTGAACAATTGATGACTACTTGTTAAGCACAATGATCCAATCAGTTATGAATCCACCTTATAATACTTTTACCTAGTCTATACTTCCTTAGCTTTGTTAATGAGAACAGGAAGCCATGGCAAAAGCCTTGCTGAAGTCAAGGTATATCATGGCACTGATCTCCCCTCATCCACAGAGCCTCTCACCTTATCATAGAAAGAAATCAGGTTTGTTAGGCATAACTTGCAGTGGCTGAATCCATGCTGACTGTTTCTGATTACCTTGTTCTCCTCTAGGTGCTTCACAATGTGATTCCTTGAGGACCTTCTCTATGATTTTTCCAGGTATAGAGATCAGTCTGACTGGTCCCTGGATCCTCTTCCTTCCGCTTTTTAAAGATGGACACTTGCTCTTTCTAGTCATTCAGAACCTCACTCAATAGTTCTCAAAAAGGACAGCCAATAGCTCCAAAATTATCTCAGCCAATTTCTTCAGTTCCCTCAGGTGCATCCCTCATCTGGCCCTGCCAACTAGAATGCATCTAGCTTTTCTCAGTAATCCCTAACCTGTTCTGCCATTACTCTAGGCTGTTTGTCTCCTGCCCTATCTCTGCTGCCAACTGCACTTATGAGCCGGTAGCTGCCCCTATTTGTGAAAACTGGAGGAAAAAAAGGCATTAAATACTTCAGCCTTCTCTGCATCCTCTGTGACCAGATAGGGATCTCTGGTCTCTCTTTCTTTTGTCATACCTATAGAATCCTTTTTTGTTGCCCTTTATGTCCCATGTCAGCTGCATCTCAAACTGTGCCACAGTTTTCCTAATCTTCTCCCTGCATGCTCATGTGGTACTCTTATACTCTTCCCTAGTACTGTGAGTGCTATGTTCCATATGCAGGTTCCTTTGGTTACACTAACTCTTGTTTAGTACAGTCTTTCCATTGGCTTCCATCAGCTTTGGATCAGGCCTCTAATGAACAAGGAGTATTATTTTCCTGATCGTTATAACTGAGGCTTGCACATTGGTATAGGTTTCATACCGTCCAATGCAATACAGGTCTTGCAGGTAGACATTGAAGAAACGCCCTTGGTGAGGTATCTTAAAGCACCCTGCTACTACATGACTTGGCAATCAGCATTTTTGCCTCACAGAGTGGTAAATGTGTTCTTTATAAATTTTTAGCTTTATTTATTCCCATCAATACCCGTATATGCACATTACCTTGTGGGGATTACTGAGTTAATCTAAATTTACAGTAGATTCCAGTGTGGTGATCCACTAGCAGTATTGTATTGCACAGCATGATACATAGGGGGTGCATTTGACAAAATACCAAGCTTAATTTGGTTTAGTTCCCCTTCTCCACAGCTTATGCCTTAAAGCCCATGTAGTCATCCAGGAATACACAAAGAATGTGACCCCTTTACACAGGGCTGGGGGAGGGAGCTCTGCTAAGACCTGGCTGCTTAGCTTCTCTTCCCTATCAGGCCTTCCTTCCCTAAGAAGGCCAATGCAGATTCGTGGAACAAGTTCCATAGTTACTGGGTGGTGCTACCCTTTGTGGTTGACAAAATAATTTGTCATTCAAGATAAATACTTAGTCTGTAGATTCCCATCACCTTAAAGACTTCTTCCCCTGAACTGCTCTAAATAGATCCTTCTCTCAATTCAAGAGCAAAAGCTGATTAGGTTGTGACAAGTACTGTTTTACAGAAAAACACACAGAAAATGTAGATACCGCGGGCTGAAGCAAGAAGTTTCTTCACTTTTAGAAATAAGAGTTTCAGTAGGCATTTACAGCCATTCCAAATTTTCACAAATATACATTTAATTGAGCCTGGGCCCAATCACTAAGAATTTTACCACTGACCTCAACAGGAGTGAGCCATGAATCTACCATATTTGACTGTGTGCTCAGTTACTTGCATGTGCACATAAAAACATGGCTCATGTAAGAACATGCAGAAAGTTCAGGGCCACATTAAAAGTGTTTCAAACAGGAGCATTCACCTGTTAAAGGGTGTTAACCAGTTATAAGTACCCTGTAAACATTTTAAAGTGGAGGTCTGCCCTGTTTCTACCTGTGCTATAACTACTGCTTGGATAAATTCAGGGCTTCATTCTCTAGGGCAGCATTTCTCCACCCGTGGGTCGCAACCAAAAAGTGGATCACAAGAATAAATGAAAATGCTGCTAACAAACTTTAAACATGGATCAACAAGTTTTAAAAATGAATTCTTCTCTAAAGGAGAAAAACATGGGAAATGGTGCTTTTCCCTTGCAGGCTGTCAGAGTTGCGGCCTGCAAGGGGCTGCTTGGGGACCCCCATACCCCACACACCATCCCCCCACCCCACACACCGGGGGGCTGGGGCTCGGGGGCAGTGGGTTGGGACTGGCCAACGATGTTTACAAATGAGTCCTGGTCCAAAAAAGGTTGAGAACCACTGCTCTAAGACACCTTTAACCAGCACTAAATCAACCAAAGTAAGAGCATGCTCCTTGCTGAGTCTCCCTTCACTTCCTACTGCTCTGGCTCTGAGCTACATGCCACCCCAGAGGAGCAACAGAGTCCTGGCTGTAAAAAGCAATAAAAGTGATCAGATTAGCTTTGGTGACATTTTAGATGCCTGCAAGTGCCTTGAATGGCTGTGAATCACCATGAAATGGGCCCGTGGAAATCTTACAACATGGCTTAGCCATAGGCAGTCATACATTTGGCTTATCACCTTTCTCAGAGGAGCATGTTTTTTCTACTTCCTTAGTGTTCCTGTTTACAAAGGAAACAAAGGGAAGTAACTGGTCTGTGGCCAGTGGCACAGGGAATGAGAGGAGGATAGTTCTTGAGGGGGTTCAGGCCTAGCCTATCAACAAAGCCTGGAGCCACATCTACTGCACCATGGCAAAACACATCAATGCTGCTGAATACCTTGGAAGCTGGTAGGAAAGAAAACACCCAGACCATGGCTGTTGAGCTCATATTTATTGGGTTTAAAAGAGACTAAAATACTCAGCAGATGAAGGGAGTGAGGAACAAGCAGAGGGAGAACCAGCATCTGAGGGAATACAACCCAATGGGGCACACCAGGCATTTTATATGGGATGGGGGAATTGAACATTCACATGCAACTCTTGTTTGGGTGCTGAAAATGCATCAGTAGGCATCATTCAGGCCAGAGACCTTTACACTGGCTAAATTCAACTCTACTGATATCAGAGAAGAATCCATCAGAGAAGAATCTGTTCCCCAGTGATTTTCAAGTGCTTACTGGACATAGGGGAGAAACATGGGGCATTCGATTCAGTCGCTCCTTTCAGAACAAGCAAATCCAGCCGCGGACGTGAAGATCAGCCAATTCTAAAAGCATTTTGCTGTGCCGCTAAAGGCTGGGGTCAGATAGAAACCAGCTGAGATCAAGCAGAGGACATGCCAAGCATTTCTGTGCACTATGGCTAATCCTACACTATACGGCACATCTACAGCTTAGTTTGGATCACAGGCTCCATAGCACGAATGTGAACGCTGGGCAGGCAGAACCAAGAGAGAGGAAGTTCCCTGCTGGTCTTGTCTTCATGAAACTTGATGTTGAGATAAAAATCACCCGTGTAGAGGAAGAGAAGAGCTCCAAAGCAGACAGAATTTTTGGTGGGTTTCACCTGAAAGAGACAATGTAAAAAACCAGCAGAATAAAGTAAGTATATTAAACACCACTTTGCAGTTCTGCAGTTTCGTCCAATTTAAGCATCTCCAAAAGTTCTAGAAATATTACTGAATTAACAACCACCTCACTACACCCCATACCTAACCCCATGAATCATATTATCCCCACGATACCGGTACTGAAGCACTGAGAATTAAGTTAAATGAGATGTCCCACGCTGTGTGCCATGGCTGAGGTTGAACTCTAGCTAGAACGCAGATCTTTTTGAAGCTATCAGACCTTAGATGTCTTTGCCAGAAAACGTCAGAGGTTTTCTTAATATCCAGGGACATCTACCTTTTAGCTGGTATTTAGCAAATTATGTATTAAAAGACTGAAACTTTTCATACTTGGTAAACACCCAGTTAAACATCGTTTACCTATTTGGCAATAGCTAAATTCAATCCAGGAACTAATCTTCGCTATTCGCTATCATTGGGTTAAATGAGTTTAGTGAGAGACAAGGCAATGAAGGAGACATCCTGGCTTAGCTTGTTCCAACCAAGTATAATATACTGGGCACGTCTACACGAGATGCTAAGTCACTGGTCACAAACTGTGCAGTGTCTAAAAATAACCAACCGTGCGCCGCTAGGACTGTGCAGTACTGGTGGGTACTACACAGTCATTTAGTACTTGCTAAAGCATCTCAATACCAACTGCGCAGTCCCGGGCATGTGTAGATGCATTCACCGAGTACTACTTCACATTACGTAAACCCTATCACCAGAAATCAATCTGCAATACACATAACAAATTCTACTTTCATAGACCATAATTCAGCAAAGCACTAAGTATTTGCTTTTCTTTGTGCATGTGAAAAATCCCATTCTCATTCACTAAAACACTGAAGTAACTTTAACCCCATCAGCAATAACTTTGGTTATTAGACTATGGTTGGGATTTTTCACATGTTCAAAAATAAGCGTGTGCTTCCAGGGGCAGGCAATTATTTTGGGCAGAGGGCCGCTTACTGAGTTTTGGCAAGCCATCAAAGGACGCATGACAGGCAGCCGGGGACAGATAAATATTAATTTTCTAAATTTTTAGGGGCCCCGCGGGCTAGATAGGATTGTCTGGTGGGCCGCATTCAGCCCACCCCTGGCTTAAGCCCTCTTTTTACCTGTTCAGGGTTTGCTGACTTCAAGCTATAAGGTTAAAAGGATTTTTTAAAGTTCTTCTACAAATTTTGCCTCTGGGCGGTGACCAACCATGTGAAACCCCTGCCTCGGAAAAACATATTTCAGAAAGTCAAAAGCAAGTGAATGGAGGGAACTGGAGAGCAAGGCTGCTTACCAATGACTGTTCTCCAACAGCCTCACTTTGCAAAATGTTGAGCTCCCCAAGAGGATCTAAGTACCCTCAAACCCGTCATTAAAGTTGTTAGATCCCCTACTCCATGCAGTGCCCAATGACTAGGGAGATGACGATCCAATTGCTCATGGATCCTGTTACTCATTATCCAGAGCAAGCAGGGAGCAAACACCAGCACACATTGCTCACAACAGCTTTATTCAGAATAGAGACAGCTTCGGGCGAGCTCCCTCGCAGACACACAGCCCATGAAACCAGGGGAGCAGCAGTGAACAATAGTTTTTTCCATATTTATACACTTTCATAGTTTCATAGTTTTAGGGTCGGAAGGGACCTAATAGATCTTCTAGCCCGACCCCCCGCCAGGGCGGGAGAACAACAAAAAACCCTAAAAACAAAAACGGGACTCAAATGAGTCCAGCCAGGTAAGTATCCAGCCTCTTCTTAAAGATCCCCAGGGTAGGGGCCAGCACCACCTCCCTTGGAAGTTGGTTCCAGCTCCTAGCCGCCCTAACTGTGAAGTAGTTTTTTCGGATGTCCAATCTGTACCTCCTCTCCATCAACTTGTGCCCATTACTCCTTGTTATGCCAGCGGGGGCTAGGGGAAACAGCGTCTCCCCCAAACCCTTCTGGTTCCCCCTAGTGAGTTTATAGACGGTCACCAGGTCCCCCCTCAGCCTTCTCTTGTGGAGGCTGAATAGGTTCAGGTCCCGCAGTCTCTCACTGTAGGGTCTGCCCTGTTGTCCCCGGATCATGCGGGTGGCCCTCCTCTGGACCCTCTCCATGTTGTCCACATCCCTCCTGAAATGGGGCGCACAGAACTGGACACAATACTCCAGCTGCGGCCTGACCAGCGTCGCATAGAGGGGGAGGATCACCTCCCTGGCTCTACTCGAGATGCACCTGTGGATGCACGACAAGGTCCGGTTAGCCCTGCCAACCATGACCTCGCATTGTCGGCCCATGTTCATCTTGGAGTCAATAATGACACCAAGATCCCTTTCCGCCTCCGTGCTCTCAAGTAGGGAGTTCCCCATCGTATAAGTGTGCTGCTGGTTCCTACTACCCAAGTGCAGCACCCTGCACTTGTCCGTATTGAAACACATCCTGTTCCTGTTTGCCCACCCCTGTAACCTATCCAGATCCTTCTGCAATCTCTCTCTCCCTGCTAGCGTGCTCACCTCCCCCCAAATTTTGGTGTCATCAGCGAATTTAAACAGGTTGCTTTCCACCCCAACATCAAGATCGCTGATGAAGAAATTGAACAGCGCAGGCCCCAGGACCGAGCCCTGGGGGACTCCACTACCCACCTCCCCCCAAGTCGAGTATGATCCATCCACCACCACCCTCTGAGTGCGACCCTTCAGCCAATCTGCAATCCATCTGACTGTGTAGGCATCTATGCCAGTGTCGCCTAGTTTATTAATTAGGATGGGGTGAGAGACGGTGTCAAAGGCCTTGCTGAAGTCCAGAAAGACTACATCCACCGCGACACCTGCGTCCATGGCCTTTGTGACCTGATCATAAAAGGCAATCAGGTTGGTCTGACATGATCTCCCCCTAATAAATCCATGCTGATTGCCCCTGAGCATCATTTCTGATGCCGGCCCATCACAAATGTGCTCCTTGATGATCTTCTCAAAGAGTTTCCCCAGGATTGAGGTAAGACTGACGGGCCTATAGTTGCCCGGGTCCTCCCTTTTCCCTTTCTTGAAGATGGGGACCACATTAGCTACCTTCCAAACTTTGATTCATGTTCATTAACATTCACTCCACCCTCGCTTCTCCTATGTTCTACCCATCTCTCCTCCCATCTCAAGGTCCACCTCTGTTTACGGTTTACCTGATTAACATAGAATTGCCTATGTATTTCCTTCATTTACATGTCTTTTTGCTATGAGCACATTTCTAAGACCTTGACTCCTCTTCCTTGGTCAATGGGTAGACTTTGGAGGCTTCTTTACCAATCACCATTCACCTTTTTGCATATGTTTATTTTGGATTCTGTTACCAATTATGTGTTATTTTCTACATGCCTATCTGTTTTTCTGTCCCATGTTGTACCATCTTCCACATTCCTAAGGTTTCACCTCATTCACAGCACACAAATTTACAGACTCACTTGAAAATGGTTGACACAGTTAAGATGGTTACTTAGCATAAGCAAATGGCTGGCTTAGCATAGGAATTCATAAGCAAAATCTTAGATATAAGAGCTATATATCTTACAACACTATTATATGGTTAAAAAACTACTTGCCTAAGCATCTCACAGTGTTACTTTTAATATAACACTCTGCCTTGTGGTTAGCAGCTTTTGCAAGTCCACAGGTAAAGCCTTTATTCAGCTGTAAATCCAATGCCCCCCAAGATCCAAATATTGTCACCCTAACAAGAGTCAGTTGGGAGAAGAAGGTCATCCATGTCTTGCAGAATCAGGCTACTCTACAGCAATCATATGACAGAGCATATGACTTATGGGAGGCTAGGAGGGGAATATGCAAGGGCACTGTTGGTAGCTGTGGAAGTTATAATAATCCCTAGGCACAGTGACCTCTTCCACTGCCTTTACCCCAGTATGGGGGGCGCTAAACCATTTCTCAGTGTTTGCTTTTCATTTTAAATGTGACACTAGCGCTTGCGAGAGATGCTGCGTGACCTACACTTGAATACAAAATCCTTCCTTTAAATATGTGCTTGCTACAGTCCATGTAAGCTATGGGTCAACTCTTATTTTTATAATTAGGCATATAGAAGTCATTTCCCAGTCCTCCTCAGGCCTCAGCCTCTTGTTTTCAGGCTATTCCTTGTGACAGTGGTTATTGTGATAGAGGCATTACACTCTTAATAATTGGTGTTATTTTATAAATACTAAAATGGCTTTAATGCTAATAATGCTTTAGTACTTAGAGGCCCCAGTCAGGGATTGGGACTCTTTTGGGATAGACACTGTACCCTGTGCTGAAGAAATCATTGGCCTTAGTTGCATTGTGCGAACACAATTAATTTGTTTCACGTAAGCCACTGAGGACCTGTCAAAGAGCAACGAATGTTGATTTTTTTTCTGAGCTCATTCAAACTGACCATCTACCAATGATATGTTCTCCACTGCCAATCAGTGGAGAGCTTTTGTGATCTTTTTCTCACACGTGCACACACCTTCTTGAAAAATAATAATGGTAAACACAAGGTACAGAAGGAAAAAAGTGAGCTGCTGATAGTTGCAGAAATTTCCTAGGTTGTGGGACTTTTGTTTTTAATTCAGCAATAATCAGCTGAATCTGACCAACTAATTGAGATAAGCACTGTTATTAAGGTGGCTAGATACAAGGTGGGCAAGATGAAGAGGAAATTTCAATCAATGCAAAGGCATTTGAAGCAATTAGGGTCTGACCTCTAATTGCACCTCTGAAAATCCTATAGCTCACAACAGGTACTTATGATCTTGCAGATAATAATTTAATCTCTCTTTTTATTTTTTGCTGAAGGAGGCATTGTCAAGTAGAGTTAGCCCAAATTAAAAACCACATTTCAATGAGAAGGGCTTAGCGTAATTCCAAGTGCAAAGAAACGCTGGGATGATCTTGTTTAAAATAAGAATAAAATAGTTCTGGTTTCAGGGGGGATTTACCTCTGCAGCCA